CAAATACAGTGAGACCCCCACATGCAGACACCTCAACATGGGGACAATTCAACATAGGGGCATTTATTTTTCAATAAAAAATCGTAAAAAGGCCAACATGCGGACATTGACTCAACATGAGGACATTGCATGATAAAATTGCCAAAATTTTTTAGGAAAATTGATTTTTATTAGGCTTAATTGCAAGAAACAGAAATTTCCAACCCTACAAACTATGCAAGAAAAATGCTTTGGTACTTTCCCCATCACTTTCCCATCCATTCAGCTAATTTAAAAAAATTACCTGTAGCACAGATTGACTTCCTTCTCTCTTATTGTGACTTGGATGTTATTTTTACAGATGCCAACATTTCAATAAACTGTACAGCAGTATACTATAATGCTCCAAATTTTCTTATTCGGTTGAAAATATATTCACTGAATAAAATTCAAGTGGCAAAAAAATTTCATGGAATTCTGAAGAATATTTCTTCCATAAACCACCAATTAAAAATTATATAATGTAAGTAAGTCTATGGGAAAACAAGACTCAATTTAGGAACAATTCAACTTAGGGACACTCCTGATGCACCAATTATGTCCACATCTGGGGTTTCACTGTATTCAGTTGTTACAATTTGAAGCTTCACAGAACAGCAGGAACAAGCTGATCCACGCGGAACCGTGTAACCCCCTTGCATTGTGGTTTGCTAAAATAAATTGGATATAAAATGAGCAAACAATAACTGTCTTTTTCTCCAGAGTTTCACGGTTAATTCAGAGGAATAAACTGTTCAATTTGTTCTAAGCACTTGTTGAAAAATTTTGTTATCAAACCTTTTGTTATTTTAAAAACATGAATAAAAAATAGGCCAGTTTTTGGCACCTTGGCAAACCATCTTGCAAGTACAGTACCACATTTGCGTTGACATCCTTATTTCCAGCCTTATACACAATACTCCGTTGTTCTTATAAATCTGACTTGAGAAATCATATGACCAGGTTTAACGTTTGATGTGCACTATTATTGAAAGCAGACGGACATAGAACTTTTCCAATGTTGAAGATCAATGCTTGATGCAATGAATTTCACTGCATGCTGAATGTCACCAAAATTTGTGTTGCCAAGGAAAAAAATGCACATAAATGGGAAATAAATGAATATTGATAATTTTTTCTAAATTGAATGAAAATTGTCAGATTCTGAGTTCTGCCAACAGTGAAATTTTAGAAGGGAACTTCACAAATGTAACGATGCGAGATTTCAATCCGTGGGGATGCATGCATCCACTAACTGAACGTTAGCGGCACCTACCTTGGCAAAACTACTTGAAAAGATCCAAACGTTGAAACAGTTGGTAGAGGTCGCTACTCCGTTCACAGCAGTGACACCTGTATAGCCGTGTTCAAAGATTGTGGAGCCCGTCATCCACTGCTCCCAGGTCAGGATCGCTAGCTACGAGGTAAAGATGTCACCCTACATTTCAAGGCATGTATGGCAGCACCGGTTGAATTTCTTCCGGATATTTTTACGATAAAAAATATTCATCTTCATACTCTTTTTTGCGCATTGGGTGACTCATTCTATAAGTTTTCCAAATGAAGAATTTTTACTGAAGAAACGATTAAAAGAATGCGTTAAGAACAGAAACCTTACAAACTATGCCTCCTGTCACTACAATGATTTCAGCAAACTCGTCACAGAATCTCTAAAATGTAGCTATGGACTTTGATCTCTTGGAACAAGCTAGAATGGGTGCCAATTGCCATTCCTTTTAGCTTGGTGAATCCTCCGCTGTTCCGATGATCAAATTGATATGAATTATGATTTGTTTGTACTGTTGCAGCTTGGTTGGATGACAGAGGTTGCTTATGGATTCCAAAGACCGTAAGTCATGGTTGCCATGAGTACCACACCACCAGCATGGCGCAACTTGGCCAAAAAATGGCCCTGCATCTTTGGCGCAATGAAGAGCAATCATGCAGTCCAACCACATGATGTCCAGAATGGAAAAATAACTGGCCACTGCAAGCTTTCAATGCGGTCAGAAAACTGGCTGCAGGACAGTTAAATGCATCGCATTGTTTAACAAGCGTCAATCTCTAAGAAGGGAACTTAGCATTTTTGTTTGCAGTTTGCTTTTTCCTGAAATAAAAAGCTTCTGAATTGCGGCTCTGTCGGCCTTTGACCCATGCTCCAATTTTTTTGGTGCCCAATGTTTGCGAATTTCGCCTCCGACGTCACTGAATATCAATTCAAGGGACTCTTTTATAGGAAGGACCCGGCCATCAACTTGCTAATTCCTGCTGACTTCTTTCTTCGTGTCTTTATTAACCATTCGTAATTTACAATTATTTCTCGAGTTTCTACTGACTCGAGTTCAATTCAAATTAAGTCAGTGAATTGGAATATGTTTGCGGAATTTTCAGAGGGGAAAAAGCGTTGCAGTCTTTAAAGCAGATGAAATAAAAAATAATCCATTTACTGAGTTGATGTGGGAAAATGGAAGTCAGCTTTGCAGCTGCGCAGTTGAGACATGGGATCGTTTTCGAGCATCACCTCTTGATAAAGACAGTACATTATATATATATACAGTTGGTTTCTGCATCGCAAAAATTAACTGTTCAACGGTTTATTTCATTGTGCAAAATTATTTTCTGCGGATCACAAATTCCCTAGTTTTCAAATGGAACTACTTAATATACAGTACAGTATTTCATTCATACGAAAATCAAAAACTGTTACTGCAGAAACTAGATCCACAAAAATGTCCAATTTAACTCATTCGAAACACTGTTGGATCATAATGACGTTGTTTCAGCTTAAATGTCCCTGAATTGTGCTTTTATATCTCCTAATATCAGACTAACCCTTTCCAAGCGGGAGTATATATTTCGTGCATAAATATTGTAACAGTGTTCCATTTTTGCTGGTTTACTGACGCATACTCTTGATCGCATGAGCAATTTAGTAACCACCGATGTATCAAGTTACAATGTTCATGCAATTATTTTTTTTTAAATTCTTAAAAACAAGATTCAAGGGACACATGGATGGATTTCAAGCACTTTTGTCTGAAAAGTGAGTTATGTAAAAATAAAAAATAAACATTTGTTCTGCGTTGGTCATGAAAAGATTTTAAATACGTCGCCTAGTGTCATAAAAAGTGGGCTCATTAAGGAGCACGCCTTGGGTTACATGTCAAATAAAGGCCCTAAGACAAAAGCATGTAATAGATTCCGCCACAAACTTTTATATTAGTATTGTTTTATCGATAAAAAAGATGATGCACATGCATTATTTTTCGAGAACGCGGATCCAAGCATTATTGGCCTGAATAAAACACGACCAGTCTCATGGGAGAGATCAAAATTGATGTTTTATGTCGCTTCCGTCAATCAATTCGATTCCTTTTCGACATTACTGACGCCGTCCGTCAGAGAACCTATATTAATATTTTTGGGAAAATTAAAAAAAAAGCAACAGAAAACTTATACAGGCGGAACATTTTTGCGTAGTCCAGAGTTCCTCACGCCTTCGTCATAAAAAAAATTACGAGAAGTCTTATTGCCTTGTGATGACAAAGATTCCTATGAAGAATCGAGCAAATTTCCAGCAAAAAAAAAAATGTTCACCGCAGCACGAGTTAAAACACCGATTCGATTTAAAAGATAGGCAGAAGAAAACAGTCGAAGAGTGTGGGAAGGCATTGAAACATTTAGACCACGCGGTTTCTTATACTTTCGAACAAGAATGAGAAAACTTGTAACGTGCGTCAGAAAAAAAAAGCACACACAATTTTCTTCCGGGAGAAAATTAGTTATGCTCAGATATTATATAATACTGCTGATACGCGAAAAAACGTCGACTCGAAAAAAAAGAGGGTTTTGGGGGTTTTCAACCAACCAGGGCGACGCGATAACGTTAAAAATTTCATCCAGGGTTTCGGCTTAATTTTCTTTGGAGACACCGACTTTTCGCATTTCGGAAAAAAAATGTTGTCCTTCGTCGGGAACAATGATGCACTTGGTGGACGAGAAAAAAAAAAAAAAACATCGGCTGAAGCACAGAACCCTGACGGACCAAAAAACTCCGATTTTCACCTCCGACTGGATTCCCCACCACATTCTCCCAACGTATACTGACTCTTTCCAAAAAAAACGCAAAAACGAAAAAAAAATTCGATTGGATGAAATAGGAACAACTTCTTCTCTCGTTTCCAGTGAAGCACGGAAAACCCACTTTCTTCCTCCTCAAATGTTCGAATTCCTCGAAAAAAAAAAAATCCTTCATTCACACTGAAAAGTTTGCGGAGTTGCTGCAGCAGGGGAAGGAGGATAACTGGGATTATCATGAGCCACATCCTCGATACCATAAAAAAAACAAACTCGGAACAAATAAGTTTGGTTTGACGAAAATGGTGGGAAAACGGCGGATCGCCGAAACGAAACGTCGCACACCTCGACGGCGGACTTTTTCTCCATGTTCTTTCGCCTTTTTTTTTCTTTTCCTCTCCAGAGGTACGTCTGGCATAATTTTTTTTAAGCTCCCGTGATACAAAATAAAAACCGCCGCCAAAAAAAAAAAACACGGACGCGACAGGAATCACGATGGCAAAAAAATAAATAGCTGAATGCGGCGCAAAACTAAAGTCCAAAAAAAGAAAGCAGAGAAACTCGGGGTGGGGCCTTTTCTCATTCACCGGTTCGCGATACAACACTTTCTTCGTATACGGGACTTTGGGGTAATGAGTTAAATCCGCTAATAAGCAACGCTTTGACAATGACTTCCTCTCTTCTCGTCCTGTCCGCACATGATAATGGGAGGAGATTTTCTTTTTCTCGTGGGCGGAGTGGTTGGAAGAGCGAGAGAGAGAGAGATAGAGAGGGAGTGTGTGTGTGTGTGTCGAGGGGTGGGGCGATGCGGGGAGTCACATTCTGTATGTGGGAGGGGGCGAGGGGGGGGGGGGAGGGGTTGTTTTTCTTTCTCTCTTTTCTGTTTTGTGTCAGGGATCAATCAATCACTGTTTCAAGCTAGCATGACTGCCCGATTGCTGGGAATGCTCGCCCTGCTGCTGCTGAGCCTGACGCTGGCTGTTCTTTTTGTTCTTCATGCGTCGGTTCTGGAACCAGATCTTGACCTGACGCTCTGTGAGGTTGAGGTTTCGGGCCAGCTCCCAGCGCTTCTGCTTTGACACGTAGGCGTTGAAGAGGAACTCCTTTTCCAGCTCGAGTGTCTGGTATTTGGAGTACGGCTTTCGTTTCTTCCGCACGGTCACGTTGCCCGTCCACTCCAGCGGGTTGGTGCCCGGGATCACGCCTGTCGTGCCCGGCAGGGCGGAATAAAAACAAACTGCAATTCATTATTATCACGGCTCAAAAACCACTTTTCCTGAGGACTAATTACGATCATGGGATCAATGGCGGTGGGCGTAACATGCATCGCCAACGAACGCGCCCCGTTGCGGTGTTATACATCATGCCACTCCCCGAATTTGACGACTACTGCCCTCTGTTATTCTCTATTAGAAACGGGATGAGTACCAGCATTCATATCGTATAGATGTCGCTACAAACGTACCTACGACTCGGAAAAACGAAGTTCGATAAGATGCCGTGTGAGCGTGAGAACAGTATTGCACTGTATTAGACAAAATATATATCATTTCGAGAGTTTTGATTACTTTTGGCGCTATTTTCGTAGCCTAAATATAAAAAAAACCAACGCCAAGCCCATTCGTTTTCTTCCTCACGTAGATCTCTCCGTTCAATGAATTCAGCATGGGTAATCGGAAAACAAACAATATTGTAGCAACAACAAAATTGCTCGACAAAATCAATTCCATTCTTATTCCTAAAAAATAATCGTATATTTGAAGTACTGCTATTTCATTAAGACATCGAGATTATTTATAAAACATAATGAGGCCATCCAGATTTTTTTTATGAAACGTGAGCTTCACCATTTATGAAAATTTCAACACCAATCACACTCAATTTCATATTATTTTGAGCTAAAACGAGCGTCACGTGCAAAACGTACAAGGAAATCAACTAACTTTGTAGCTATAGGAAATGTTTTGGTTTTTCTTCAATAAATCAACAATTCCGTTTGATAAAATCATTCAACTTCCGCTCGATAAACAAGCTCGGAAATTTGGCTGTTACTGCATGGTAAGTAATTTCTACAATAAATACCTTCGGTAACCATTATTATCACTCAAATGATATAAGACCCCGTCCTTCGAAATCCTGCAAATTTACTGAAAAAAACATGGAAACGCAAGCAGGAATAACGAGAGAAACCCCATCGCCGTGAATAAAGTACTTTAGTGCACTGTACTGCATATTGCTCTGCAAATACGGAAAAAAACCTGCCAATGAGAGTCAAGCTAGAACTTGGTTCGTAAAATTCGTCGTTTGTTCTACAGAGGTCGCTGCTAAGCCAGTAATCTCAAACTGCAACTCATATCCCCCACCACCAATCAAACGAAGCGTTTTGGTAGTATAATTTTGAGCCTGCGTCATGTACTGTACGTAGTATGCTATACTTCGGGACGAGAATTTCCATTCGAATGCAATATTCCTCAGCACGCGACGAAGGGAAAATGGAGGGACTAGAAAGTCTTGAAAATGCAGTTTGCACACGTTTCGGGGCCCATTTTAACATCACAAAGATCAGCTTTGCGCTGGAATGCAGAAAGGAATAAACCCGTCGGAACTCGAAGGCAAGAATGAATGCGCATTCGTGTTCGTGTGCTCAAGAGGAAGAAGTAAATGAAACGAATCAGCCAGTAAAATCAGCCATATTGTTTCCTTTTTCAGAATTTTCAGAGGCACTGGAAATTATTTTGTTCGTTTTCCCTACGATGTTGACAAGGGTATAGTTTAATAACGGCCGAACCGTCGAAAAATTTCCAAGTTGAGATTTGAAAAAAAATTATTCTTAGCGTATTGCCCTCATTTTGAGTCCATGTTATGGTTCAATCTTTGAAAATTTAGATATAAGAACTTGATCCGATAAGAAAAATCTTCCATTCTTCGGAGACGATCCCACGAGCAGAATAATCTTTTTTTTTTTAAACCCAAGAGCTGAACATCCGTACTTCGGACGGGTTTCACTTAATTGCTGGTATATCGGACATAATTTTGGTTAGATTACAAGGTAATGATTGATCAAGGCCGGGTTGACGATTATATCAAGTCATAGTTTCACGTTCTTTATTACTTCCCGTATACAGGAAACCATTATAAAATCAATTCCGATAGTAACGCAATTTTTCCATGAGCATATTTGATACAGTAATGCTAGTCCTTGCCGATTTTTAGCCAGCCGTTCTGCGAGCATCTTGATTTTTGGAATGATAAAAATAATTTTACTTCATTTTCGACTAAACCCGAGGTACGATTTAAAAGAGTGTTTTTATACGTACAGTAAATACTTGTCACGAGGAACCCCGTAAAAGTAGTTTTCGTAATCCAGCATGGAAACTTGCATGTAAATCATGTTTCTACTCAAATGGTCTTTCAAAGGTAGTTTATGATCAAACAAAATTGACGAGACGATTGGAGGAAAACCTTTTTATTTTAAAAAATTTCCTTGAGGCCATTTTGCGCATGAGATCGTGAGAAATACACAAGGAGTTCTCCAGGATTTGCCAAGCATGCAATGCGCTGAATTAAGTGCGTTTTAGGTTACTTCTGTGTTCGGTTTTTTATCAAGTAAAATTGATGAAGCTTATTGTTGTAGACTCAAATAATTCGAGACCTTCTTGCACTTCGAAAATTTGAAGCTGAAGCAGAGAACAACCTGATTCCTCACTCGACCCGTTTGGGTGTTTTTTACTTCTGCAATGGAAAGCTTTTTTTACAAAGTCACACTAATTATCAACAGCCGGACTTGGTCAAAAAATTCCAACATTAATGTCAAGTAAAAAAAATATATATAATCCTCTTGCTCAGATGCTTCTTATCTCGATTTTTCCCCGAGCCCGAGAATCTTCAAACCGAATTGCCTTCGCAATATAAGCATCGAAACTCAAAAGGAAGACCGGTAGTAAACTTTTCAAATTTTAACAACCCGTTCGTCATGACAGGTTTGTTGTCCAAATACGAAAACACAATTACGTACGAGGAACGAAACGAGTTCATCAAAGCGAACCGAGCAGGGCTAGTTACAATCTAACATATGCATGTGGACCAGTGTGAGTGAGTGTCGTCGTCCACAGAACACAAAAAAGAAGAAGAAAAAAAAAGGAGCAGACACACGCAATGTGTTGAGGCATTAACGAAGAATTATTTCGTTTGATTAACCAGAATAAGATATTCCTGCTGCTATACTAAATTCATCGCAAAGAAGGGGGAAAAATGAGGGAACTAGTTTTGACACAACTCGACTTGAAAAAGAGTTGCATGACGTCTACTTCCATCAAGGGTTTTTCGAGGAGCTTGATAAGAGCCGGGGTTTTCAGTGGATATGCATACAGTATATATATTTCCTTTTGCTACATTGTTTCCGACGTGATTAACGACAGCAATTTTTCCATTTTATCTCTGCATGATTATCAAATTTGTTTTGCTGATTTCGGGTCCGCAACGTGTCACGATGCTTGAATTCGCCCAGCGCACTCCAATGAAAACTGACTAGATGCATATCAAATGTAGGAAGATTTTAACTGATAACAGAATGTTAAGCTTGGGTTTTCCTCCTTATTTTTCCCCCCTTCTTTCAACTAAAACACGGAATACACTCTTTAGTCGATGGGACTTGAAAGCACTGCAAATCGTCAATGCTAAAAAAAAAAAGAAATAGCAGAAATCCGGTTTCCGAACGTGATTAAAATAAAGGAATTTTCCTAAAGTCTGAATTATTAATCGTCAGGTTCCATCATTGTACATATTACACACTTCGTTTTTGGGACTGACCATAATTTTTTCCAAAAATTCTGATTAACAGGAAGTCCGTAAGCATTTTTTAAATTTTCGAGCACAGTGTAAAATATTGAAAATGCGAGACTGATCGAACACGTACTCAGCATTAGTATTAATAAATTGTCGTCCTTCCTGGTCTTAAAAAATTCAATTTTTAAATACGTTATTGGTGACGTGCAAAGCTCAATTGCATTCATACGTTTTGAAAAAGTCTTCATGAGATATCTCTTTCAACGGATAGTTTTGGCGAAAAACTTTTGAGGCGAAGAGAATAGAAGCCGCAATTAGTTCAAATTAAGCACATGATCTGAACTGATGAATAAACTAGACTATACTGCATTGATGCATAACAATTTAAATATAAAACAATGTTTTGAACGTCAGTGGGCTCTTTTGGATAGTCGTGGAAAGTATAAAATCAATGACCAAGGGGAGAGGCATAAAATAGAGGTCTTAATAATTTATACTGAGGTATAGGATGATTACTTTTAATTGTATTCAAGGACTATTTTCATTCCTGCAAACCGTATTCAGGACCGCATTACTTACGGGTGAAAAAGTTTCGCCAATTTCGCGACCATAAATTTAAATGTAAGGCCTTCAAGCTCAGAATTCAAGTCCGATCAATCAACGTCCGAAAATCAAAGTCGGAAATGACGTTCAGAGCAGGGAAAATCATCGATATCCCCCTCAATTTCCCCTCCCCCCCCTTTTATTTTTTTCCTCTCATCGAGGTGGAGAAAGAAAATTTAGTTGCGAAGCGAGAAGAAAATAACTGAACTTTTTGCAGAGTACATGAAATTTTCTCGCAGCACGCATCTATATCAATTATGACGCGGATCGGGTTCAATTTCCAGCCCGGAGTTTATTGCGAATTTCACTTCTTTCTTTGTTTTATTTTATTTTTTTTCTCTCCTGCCGCTACCCGCCAATTTTTCTCCTATCCTCATCTCCTTCGTGATTTCCCTTCTTAGAACAGAAAAAAAGTGCAGGCGCGGGGGGGAAGGGAAGAATCACGTCTTCGCGTCCAAGAGAGGCTATTTTTTAAGCTTTTGTTTTTCAATTGTTGCGAGGTTTCCATATCCAGAGCCTTTTTAATGCGTCACAGCGCGTTCAGGGTTCATTTCACGGCGTGATCATAAACGGCGCCGGTTCATGGCGTTCGAGGAGAGAATTGATTGCGCACGCATCGCATCGCGTCGTCCAAGCGTTATTAATTGCGTGAGCACAGCATTTTTCCGCACGAGACGCCAAAAATGCAAAAAATATATATTGGCCAAACTCTTTCAAGGAGAACAGCAAGGAAAAAAAAAGACGAAAGATGAAAGCTTCAGGTACCCCTCGAAATCTTCCGCCGCGAGCCAGCTCCTATATATAGATAAGATACATATATATATATATATATATAGGAGTACTTACCAGACGTCAGAAATAAATTACCCAGAGCTGTACACTTTTCAGACACAACTTCGTTACGCGTGATGCAGCTTCAAAACTATTTATAATTTCAAT